ACTCAAATATTATTATTAACATGTAAACATGATTTATTAACTTCAAGTTTTGTGCAGGTAGCACCTTCATGTCTCAAATTATGACTAATATTCATATTGATATTGATTTTTAGTGATCTTTTTTCAGGCTGGTTAGGGGATGCTTTGACTGAGCCAAATTGTTACACGTCCCTCCATGTGTACGACGTTCAAATTTCATGCAGCTAGCACCTTCCTGTCTCAAATTATGCCTAAAATTCATCTCTATATTTAAAAAATAAAGGTGTTTTCTGCCTGATTCAACCAAGCTGCCCCCCAGCTTCTTCAAACCCCACCCTCAATCTGACCAATCATGTCTTGGACCATCTCCTCCACAAAGTCAAACTCAGTGACTGCAGAGACCCACTTCAGTTTTGGGTGCTTGGTGGTATCAGCCAGACATAAATGTACCTGAACCTGTCTGTTTGAGGAAAAACTCTCGACCCACCAGGACTATCTGCAGGTTTCTGTGCATTGTTTGCTTTATTTAACATCCAAGTCCTTGAGGATCGAAGCAGAAATAAGAACTGCCGTATGCCACACAGTTCCGCACACGTTTCTGACTACTTTGTACACGAGCCCATTTTCATGCTTGAATAAGTTCCTTTTAAAAAACCTGCTACGTGCCAACATGGTGCACTAATAGCTGCTGTCACAGCTGGTGTCAGGAGCAGGAGAAACATCCATAAAGTGGAACACACCACCTGTTGGCTCACTCACACAATCCAACTAGAAACCAGGACATGGCAGCCTGTAAATTGCATCTGCCCCGGTTGAAAATCAATCCTATTTTTCTGCGGTAATTTACTCCCTCTCAGATTTCGCTGTCTTGTAATAGTCTCGGTCGTGTTATTCTCCTCGGCGTTGGTCGGAAAACGCCGTCAGAGTTCAGCCGATTGGCCGAACGGCTCCCGGTCCAATCGGCGGCCGTGTCAAACGGAGCCGAACCCGTCGGCAGATGGGGTCCTCCTCCGTTACATCCTGAACTGTTGAACCCAATCAGCACGTGAGGCGGTGAGGTGTGAACAAATGTGGGGGTCGCAGTGAGATGTGCCAGGTGATGCATGCTGTGGACCGCTCAGGGGGGAAATGGAGGGTTGATACACCTTAGAGGTGATCACCGGGGCGCAGACTAACGGGCTAACGAGCGAACTCGTCTGCTGCATGATTGCTCAAGGCCTTGGTGTAAACAGGACCTGCTCAATGGGACGAGTCTGAACTTCTGTTCACCTCTGATTAGAAAGAGGGCACGATATTTATTTAAACATTAACGATTGAATCACCTTTGTATAAAACTGAGTCGTTAAATATTTACAAAGGTTTTTAATGTCTCAGCTGTTTTAAAGATATTCTTTTTGAATGATGACAGTGTTCAAAATTATTATTTTCATTTTTATTTCCATCTACTAAAAACGTTAAATAGTGAGAAATTAGATTTCTGAGATCCTACAGGATCTCCTGCCTCTCGGAGCTGAAATGGTTAATAACTGCGAGGGAACTAATCACCTCCTAGTGTTTTTATTAAAATTAATTCTTGTATTTTTTAGCTTTTCGCTAATAAATCCTATAAAATTTTAAAGTTTAATTCT